AGCTGGAGGGCACAAAGTCACTAGTGATGAGCAGATTTGAGCAAGGCAGGAGTGGCATTGCAGGCGTGAAGGGAATGGGAAGGCCAGAGCTGTGTCTCAGGAGGAGGGAGCTCCCACAGGATGCCACTGGCAGAGCCGGGCTAGAGCTGTGGGAGAGGGCTGGATGTTCCCAGCTGCGGAGGAGGTGCCTGAAGCAGCTGGGAACATCCTGTGCATTCTTTATCCAATTGAGTAGTGTACTCTGTGTGTGCCTTAACATACAACTAACCGAAAACAAGCAATCGAAGCCCTATTCCTGACATTCCTCCTAGGATTCTACTTCACCACCCTACACTCCATGGAATACTATCAATCACCCTTTTCCATTCCTGATGGAGTCTGTGGGTCAACATTCTTTGTTGCTCCCAGATTCCAATGCCTACACGTAATTATCGGCTCTATATTCCTAATAGTATGCGTCCTACGCCTGATTAAGTACCACTTCACATTAAAGCCTGGGCCTTGCTTTGGTGTCGGTGAGACATTCTGGACTCCCTGTAGGAGCCATTGTTGTATTTGGAGGCAGCCACGGAGCATTTTGGGGCACTCCTTTTGCCTTTGAGGGCAGCTGGGTGTGGATCGCCTTTGCCTGAGGTTCCACGTGCACTAAAGGAAAAAGCAGGGATTGTTTCCCAAACAGCAGAAGGCTGCAACCTAGCCAACGACTGAGTCAGCTTGTGTGTGCTGGTCTGGCCATATTGATCAGCATAGTTGGCTTCCTCTAATGCCTTTAGACTCCTGCCCTGTCAGCAGCCATTTGAGACAAAATACTTCAGAGAAATTGTTTTGCTTTGGGGCTGGTGTCATACTGGTGTTGTATCATGACTGCTATTGCTTCTATTATTCCTCCGAAAGATCACATGGGCTCCCACCATGTAACTCTCCAGTCGAGTTGCTTTTCAAATGAAAAGGAAGGAAACGTGGTGAATCAATCGGAGAAGTGGAGCGCATGACCAGGAGCACTTCAGGATTACTTTCTCCAATGCCTGCTCAGAAGCAGCATCAAAATAAAAATCCTAGACACCCTCAAGGCAGTTGGAGGACTCCCTTCTTTTTCACCCAGGGAATAGTGCCCTATGTTCACTTCTGAATTGCCCATTCCTTCTTAAAATGGATAGAAGAGCCTGGAAGAACAGTCTCCTGTGGCTGTTCTGGTGTGGCTTGGAATTGGGAATGGTGTCCTTCCTTTATCAGTTCCAACCTACACTGCTTTTGGAATGCCATCCACTGGCCAAGTTTTTTCCTGCCATGGACTTGTGGATGAGGAAGAAAGCACAATTGCATCTCCAGCCAAAAGCAATGAAGAGCAGGGCAGCCAAAATATCCTGTGGGGACACAGGTTTTCATCTGTGCACACAGAGACCTTGGTTCCTGCCCAGTGCAGATGGCATGTCTCCCCTGTGACTGCTCCCACTTCCCAGGTGGCCATGGCTAAGAGATACAAGGCTCTGCAAGTGCAACCAAAGAAGGTGGGCATGTCTGCTGCCAGTAGAGAGCAGCAGGAGAGGGGAGAGCCAAGAGCCTGGGTGTTGCCTGGCCAAGGAGGGGCAGCACCTGCTGGACCAGCTCTTTGTCACCAGATAAGGACTGGTGGGTGGCACCACTCTTGGGGGCCCTGTGGGGCTCAGTAATCACGAAAAGCCTCTGTGCTTGATTGGTTTTGTCCCTTTTTCTGTGCCTTCTGTTGTCCCAGTGCTCAGCGGCTGCTTCCCAGGGCTCTGTATCTGGCACAGCTAATGTGCAGGAGAGCCTCATATGTCAACCTTTTCCATCTGGAAGGTCAGTCTGGAGAGTGAATTGTCCCCTCTGTTTGGTGGTAGAGGCCAGGGCCTGTCATCTGCAGTGCCAGGTGGCACTGAGGGCTGCCCGGTGCCTCAGGCTGGTGTGACCCTAGAGCGAACACGAGGAGACAGTGGCAGGTGCTTGTTTCCAAAGTCACATTCTGCAGGGCCAATGTGCCGTGTGTGTCCTTTGTCCAGCCCTGCCCCAGACCTGGGGATCAGATGCAGGCACTGCTGCTGCTGCAGGCAGCGAGGATTTGGTGGTTGGTTTCCATCCCAGCAGAACTGGTCAGAAGCCGGGTGCTGATGGTGCCCTGCAGATCTCTGGGCTGCACAACTGTGAGGGAACTGTCCCTGCTTGTTATTGCCCACCAGGGAAAGCTATGCCAGCCAAGTCTGCATCAACACAGCAAACAGGGAATACACAAGTCTACTCCATCTGTGTGAGCTGAGAGTGGTGACCTTTGAGATTAAGTGGCACAAAGTCAAATTGCTTTAGGTCCCTCTCTCTATCTCTGTGTGAGGTAATTCTGCTAAATTGGCCTTCATTACAGCAGCCTCTCAGCTCAGCAGGTTGATAAGTTGCCATTTATCCTGAGGAATTTGTTTTTATAAAGGACTGAAAAACTTTTTAAAAAGTGAGACAACAGGGAATGATGGTTCCAAATATTGGAACGGCTGGGGTTTCTGTTTCCCTAAGCCCTCCTTCCTGTAGCCTGTCTAACTAGTCTCTGCCTCACCTCTCCCATTTCTGATGGGGCTTGTCCATTTTTAATGGGTGGTTTCCAGGCACCGCCATTTACTAAGTTCCATATTCTGTTTAAACTGTTTTGTCTTGCTTTCTTTCCATCCATTACAGCCTGTTCTCTACAGATATATCCAGGGAAGAAATGTAGAAAATTGTTACATGCTACAATATAAAAGAATATAAGAAGAATTTTTATAAGGAGACCTAATTGTCTCCTAATTGTCCTTCAGGACAATTTACAGTGAGATTTAAGCACTTAAAATGCAGGCAGTGTTAAGAGCTATTGAGTTGATGAATGACACTCTGATGCTTTAATTATGTGATATAATGTTCCAGGTAAAAATTTGCCACAGATGGAGATGTTCACATCAAATAACAAAATAGTGATTTGTGTCTGCTTGTTAGAAATGTGAGAGTATGAGACGAGAACCTCTTTGTACCTCTGAAAACTTCTGTACAGAAATTGAAGCATTTCCAGCAGATGGTTTTAGCCACATTTGCCTGGAAGTCTAGAAAACACCTTTGGAGGTACATTCTCGGTACATTCTTAGTCACCTCACTGAGTGGGAAGAATGTACTTCAAAATGCAATGCCCATGCTTCAAAAACCTCTGGCTAAGTAGTCTCTTTTGAAAAATGTGGTGGAATTTGTTTCTTCTTTTTTTTTTTTTTTTTGGAGCTGTGCTTTGGTCCAGTAAATCTGTTTGCTCTGTGTAAACTTGAAAGAAGAAATCAGACCCTGGGTTCTAAGGCAGAGTTGGTTTATTTCAGTTTGAGCTGGGTGCCACCAGAGAGGGACCCTGACCAAAGAAATCCCTGGGCCTTTATACCCTTACAGTCTGTGCACCCGACCTTCATGCACTTGTCACGTGCCCTGCATGAGCCTCTTAGTCCTATGGTGATTTATGGTCTGGGGTCTTCTGACACCTCATTGGATTCTCCATGACGTTTGTGTGCCATTAACTGCTCTTATATTCTGGCTTGGGGCAGTCTTGGGACCCTCCATGGTCTCAGCCCTTACCTGAAGATAACCAGTCTTTCTCTGTTTTCTCCCCTGCTTAGCCATTATGATGAGTTCATTTAAAGTTCGCCTATGTTAAGTTTTGAGCAGGGCCCTCTCATTCTAAGGTGAAAGCAAGTTACAATTAAACTTAAACCTACACAGATAGTCTTTAATATTCTATAAGTAAACTTATTTTAATCCCCAATAATAAACTCCTAGTTTACATCTAGCACCTGGTTTACAGTGCAAGTTCTGCCTATCTCAAGGCCACTCAAGTCATCTCAGCACCCTTGTTTGTTGGCTTATTCCCTTTTAATAGGGAATATTCTATTTGAGTCAGTCTGGCATGTCATTAATGTTTCTCTATACTCTGCTGTGATACCCCCACCTTGTAACCAATCACATACCCATCCACAAAGAATCACAAGGAGAAATCTTGCACCCAACTGGGTCATCATTATGGTCTGATGGACAGTTGTGAGCTGGTAATTCAAGGGCAAGAGGGGGACAAATGTGCAAAACATGAAGTTGGCTACTATGTCAAATTTGGATAGGGTAAATCCACCAAAACCCTTGTTCTTGGCATGACACCAGAAGTTCAAACCAATCCTGCCATTATTTTTCTTGCCTAAGGATTGGGACCTTTCTGGCAGGACAAATACCACTGTTTTGAAGCATTTGAGTATGATATTTTGTAAGAGGCCATACCACACTACAGACAGAATGAAAGGGTAATATAAACAAAAGTAAGTAAGCCCTGCTTGTATATAACAGGTAGTAATTTATAATTATGCATTGAAATTATTAAACGAAATACAAATTGAGTAAGTCTCATGTATATCCAGGCGAGTTGTAAAAATGTGTTTTACGATATGTAGTATGCTCCTCAACACTATGCTTCATTAATATTGCTGTATGGCTGCCTCTGATAACATTAAACACTTCAAAATATATGTATACTTTGCATATGGGCAAAAACTAATAGTGATGCTAGGCAATGAAAGAACAATAGCATGCCTTTTATCTTACGAGTGTCAACAGAGCTTTTGACTAGATTACTTCTACTAGCTGACTTTTACATTTAAACAGGAGTCTGTCTTAATTATCCTTGTTGAGCACAGTGGATTACAACTTCCACTGTTGCACTGCAACTGCCCAGCATTTTTGTTTCAAACACAATGAAATGTATATAGAATACTGCAATAAGTTACCATTTTGCTATGAGTAGCTCTTGGAAAATATAAAAAACCCTCTAAGATGTCAATACCTAATGCATTACAATATGCATGTAGACATTATATCTACATATATCTACGAAAAAAGAAAACCCTGTGAATGAAACAACAGATTACTTTAGTCTATACCTGTTTTGGACAATATATACACTTCTACAGACTATGAAGGCAGAGATGTATATCACTGTGTGATATACACACGCATAACTGTGGTAAAACAGTATTGCTGTATTATATATAGTTAGAGCTATACACAGTTCTACACAGCACATCACATTTTGGACTCCAGCAGATTGAATTTTAGTTTTCTGTAATGCATCAATGATGAGTGAAGATTTTTTTTCTATCTTAGGCAGCTTCTTCAGCGGAGCAATCAATGCCTGCATAAGTAAATTTCTCATATAGCGTAGTATTCACATAGGTCTGGAAAGAAAATAAGCAGAGAAGATGTGATGCGAGGTGCATTACATCAAGAACCCTAAATAATATTGAAATTATGCATAGCCTAATTATTTATATCATTTAAAGTATATATATTTACATAAAACAGAGTTTTATTCTTACCTTCCTGTCTTCTAACATCCTGTTCAGTGACACCAGGATCTGAGCAAATGATGGTCTTTCATATGGTTTTTCTTTCCAGCACTGCCTCATTAGGTCATACCTTTAAAAATCCAAGACCAGCATTTGATGGTTTAGCTACATAGGTTAAAGTTACAAATACTTGATAATTTAAAAATTGTGCACATTCCACTTTTCAGAGGGAAATGGATTTCTACATAGCTGAAGTTACATTTTCCATAGTTGGTTGCTGTCACAAAAGAACTTTCTTTTACTCTGGAGTAATCAAAAAGCTCTCTTTGAGCTAAAACCCTGGTGTTTTGTGTAAAGAACAGGATAACTGGCTGGAACAGAGAGCCTGAGAAAGTATTCATGGCAAATTAATATTGTATGTTGTATACAAAAGGACTTATGCACTTGTAAATTTTTTAATGTAGTTTTTATGTTTTGGGCACTTTTTAAATTTTTAATGTAGTTTTTAAATTTTCCAGTAAAAAAATTGTTTGCCAGTTTCTTGTAGAAATCTTCTATCTTCTATATCTAAGGTTGCTGTTATTCTATTTCTTTTTTGGGTTTTTTTGTGAGGCAATACTCACACTTCATCATCACAGTTGAGAGGTTTTTCCAGTCGGTACCCTTGAGGGAGTTTTTCGTACAATTCTGCACATGTCATTCCACAATATGGTGTTCCACCTAAAGTTTAACCATTGTCATAAATGGAAGCAGTTTTTAATTAAAAAAAAAGTTTAATTTCATAGTAGAAATTGAAATGACTAACATAGTAAGTCTAAATTAATTCAAAATTAGGAGGTATTATGCATCTACATTTTTATTATAATGCTTCCTTACTGCTTGATGCACAATATGGAGGAGAAAAAAAAAATTAGTGTCAATTTTCTCATCTGTGTGGCTGGACTAATTTTCTCTGCAAGTCTGAGGGCCAGGATCTGATAGTATTCAAAATATTTTTTCAATGGCATTGATGTCACTGGGCAAGTCGTTCCTTCCTTAGTATCATAATAAGATCTGGTATGGACTCATGGAGCTCTTACTGCCAGCTGGTTTTGCCCATTTCTGTAGGTATGTGGTTGCTTAGGCTTGATTTTCCACACTGCATCCATATCTAGTGCAAACCCATTTAGTAAGGAAAGCCAGGAACAAATCAGAAATTCAAAGTCCAGTTGGCAGTGTGCACCTCAGTCAGTAGCCTCTCGTGGCCAGCAGACCATGGGCACATCTCCAGGGCAAATCACCAGACAGGTGTAACACAATGATTTTGAGTGGTGCAAGGCTGTATCACAGTCATGATGGGTAGAGGTATCTGCAGAAATGAACTCTAAATTTTATTTGAAGGTTAATGTTCAAAATTTTTCTTCATGAATATTTAATAGCAGGTGATTACTTCCCCACCTTGCAATATCATTAAAATATAAATCTTGATTTGAAATGCAGGAAAGCTGAGGAAAAGTCACCCACCAAACTCAAAACATGTTGTACTAAGGCTATATATCATATGATATCCTGGAATTTATATTTAGGTATGGCCTGGATTTTACAGTGTAATGAAAACATGGTCATTATGATTCTTTCTTATTTCAAATGGTACCTGGACTGAAAATTTGACAATTGCATTTCCAAGCATACTGAACTTAAATAAAATGCAGGAGAATAAAACAGAAATAAAATAGAAGTCTATTGTGAAGCAATATTTTTTAAAAGACTGAGTGAATAGAGCTGCCTTGGTGCAGATTGTTTATTTGTGCAGTAAAAAATTCAGACACTTACCTAAACTAACAATTTCCCATAAGAGGACACCATATGACCATCTGCAACAGAGGGATATTATGAAGTGCAACAAGAATTAATATTTTTAAATGGTAGGTAGTTTTGCTAGTGTTCAGGGAAGTGTGATGTTTTTCTGTAGTTTTTATAAAGTTTTGTATAATGATGGGGCTTGTAGAATCAGAAAACAGGAAAATTGGCAAAATTAATTCACTTTGAGTCAACCAAAGACATTTATCAGATTGTGAGCTTTCAGCAAATACTGAAATTACATAATTTCTTTTCCAAATACAATTTCTAGTTTCCTAAATAAAATACAAATTTCTTCTGGATTTTCCAAATATTCATCAGGTCTCAAATTTTGAATAAGAAGTACAGCTGAAGTAGCAGGGCACATCCAAGTAGTTTGTGAACACAGAACTTGATCACACTCTGAGGAAGAAATAAAAGTAACTTTTTTGTTATGGGTTTTATTTTTTGTTTACATTGCTTACTTATGGTGACATTACTACTGACTATTTTGAGTTAAGAGTGGATGTCTCATGCTAGTTACCAACCTTTCCTTCATAAGGAAAAATATTTTTTTTAATGCCACTTGAACACATACTTACACATCACTATTTGTGGTGTAAACACTGTAATTCAAAGATTCAATTGCCATCCATCGCACTGGAAGCCGTCCCTAGAAATTATTTAATGAAAGTTTATTTTTCACTTGCTGGTATAGCTATATTGCAGTTTATATGCCAACAATCATTCTGTGTTGCCTTAGTGAAAACTGACTTTATGCAAGTAAACTTTATCAAGTAAATAAACTTACTAAACTTGAGCTGTTTTACAGAAGAAATTCTGTATTGTGAGAGTGGTGAGACACTGAAACAGGTTTTCCAGAGAAGCTGTGGATGTGGGAGTGTTCAAGGCCAAGTTGAATGGGGCTCGGAGTAACCTAGTGTAGTGAAAGCTGGGGTTGGAACTAGAGGGTGTTGAAGGTACCTTTCCAAACAAATCATTCCATGATCCTATGATTATATGATTTGCTTCCCAAAGGAACAGTTCACATGAAAGTTAATAAAAGAATTATCCAATCAGCATCAAGGTGAAATGTAAATAATACCTCAGACGATGCCTCTGACCGTCGTGTTGCCTTGACAACACAGTGCTATTTCTGGTCTTTAGCTACATCATGCTTACTACATATCTTCTTTTAGATCTTCCAAGCACTAGTTCTGGACACATCCTGATGTACGTCTGGTTACCTTCTTGCTAATATTTGCCTTGTTCAATAGAATTAGACCAGCTTGACTCATCTATTTTACTGTCATTCATATTCATATAAATAATTTTAAATTACATTTTATATTATAGACATGGTATAGGATTTATTTACAAGTAGATGGATTTATGTGTATATTAATAAGCATTCATATTTTACATGGCAATTAATAAAATTTAAAAAATTAGTTCTGTAATACCCATAAATTTGCATTTTTCTTCATATGGAAACACAGATTAAGAAATAAGAAAGCAAAATTAAGAAAACAGATTGTATCAATTTATGTTAATCCTTACCATGGTCTTCTTAACGTAAACTTCCTGACCTCTTGATAAACCAAAGTCAGCTATTTTTGCAACATAATTTTCTCCAACCAAGATGTTTCTTGCTGCCAAATCTCGATGAATAAACTAAAATAATGATGATGATAATGATAACACTAATAGTAATAATAATAATAATAATAATAATAATAATAATAATAATAATAATAATAATAATAATAATAATAATGTAATAAAATAAGGGAATCAGTATAATTGAGTTTTACATGTATTAATTTACTGCTATATTGAAAATTTCAACCCTTTGGAATAAGAACATAAAACAAAGAAATTGGCTTAGTATGTCACTACCAAGAACATTTAAACTTTATCTGAAAATGAAAGCTGTTAACTACCATGTTGTTTTAAGTTTTAATGCCTCTTCCATGATTCCCCATGATGTATTTGATAAGTTTAAATAGAGACAACAAAATAAGTCTCATTCAGTGTGTGCTATAGAAGCTAAAATTAAAAATTAATGTAATTAAAGGGCGCATTCCCTGGAAAATTATTTTCCATGCTTTCAGTGGGTAGAGAGTTGAAGACTGACCTGTTTCTGGCTCAAGTAGTCCATCCCTCTGGCAACATCTGCTGCAAAATGCAGAAGTTGCTGAGAGGAAAGTGTAGATGCAGTACTGTTGGCAATAGCAAATGCTGGGTCTGTCTCTAGTACTCTGCTTTTCCGAAGGAAGTCCAGTAAATTTCCATGGGGAGCATATTCAATAGCAAGGTAAAGATATCCTAACAAAACATCAGATAATGAGCATATCACAAAGTAAGAGATGGTCAGTAATAGTTTTGGGCAATTTACACTACCTTGAGTGGAAAAAGAAAACAAACACTGGAGTGAAATGTCAAACAGGCTAATTTCTAGGAGTAAAGGAGAATTTTGAGCCAGTGTTGAACATAATTTCTGGAGTATTAATGTGGGCTTGTAGATCTAAACACAAGTTTATCTGACTTTTTAACAAAAGTTGCAAGAGGCCTGCTAGTGTTTCTCTGGACTGTGTGGGCTATATTGTGAGAGGGCTTTTTAAACTAATTTTTAAAGTACATGCATTCAGTAGCATCTTACCCCTATGCTCACATGCTCCCAAAAGATTTATGATGTTGGGATGATGACCAAGTTTACAAAGAACTTCAAGTTCTCCAGCAAAATCTCTGTGATCATCTTTTGAGGCATACTCTGAAAATCAAAAAAGCACACATTTACATTTTAGTTGTAACTGACTTTATAACAATGCATTTTTTAAATTATGAGGACTCCACGTTGCTTGGGTTATTACTTTTTGAACTCCAGTAGAAAGAGAAAAACTGTAAGGTACATTAGTATTTACAGAAAAAAAATTAGGATTTTTCAATCAGAAGAAAAAATTGTGAGGAACAAGTGTCTGTAGAAGCTGTCTGCAGAGAAAGGAAGTATCTTAACACACCCTATCACTATCCTTCTTACTTGAGAGTGTAAAATGTTGTAGCAGATCATATTAAAAAGGAGCTGCTTAAAAATCCTTCCATATGTGTGCTGTTGATTATTTCTGCCAGTATGCAGACATTGGCTATTTTTAAATTAATCGTCACACTTAAAAGTGTTTTTCAATTTGCCTAGATAATGACCTGGAGAATTACAATAAAACATGTACATTCTTGCAGTATTGTACACATTGTAGCTCTGTCTGGAATGTAGCTGTCATGCCCAGTGAAGAAAAAGAAAGGTAATGATGCCCATGGTATGTGCATATATAGATGCTTAGATGCAGTTGTCTCTGAAGAGCTATAGTGAGCAACATGAACTAATGCTGTGCCCCAAGACATGCTCTCTGCTCCTGTCTATCCAATGCACCTTGCCTTGCAGATGAACTCACGTGAAGCTCATACTGGTCCATGAATTGAAAAATACACGATGGTTAATCCTATCAACCACTGAGGAGAAATGGAAACCAACTTTACCCGTCAGAAATACAGCTGTTGACAAATCTTGGCCTATTGACACCTGATACAATTTAAATTGCAACTTTGAATATTTATTTTAGCTTTAAAAGAGGGCTGCTAAGCATTTTGTATGACAGAGAAACATTTGAAATACACAATCAAGAAATCTCTTTAGTCACAGAATCCCTGGTTTTTACTACCTTTCATCCTTTTTATTGCAGCATCCATGCGTAAGCCATCTTTCTTAATGCGTGCTTTCAGGACTTGCCCAAAGTTACCTTCCCCGATCACATCTTGAAATTTTATGTCATTCCATTCAAGAACTGGATAAATAGTAGGATCTGGACTGTTTTTGGCTTTCCTACTCAGAGTGAGAGTACCTGAGTTAAACTGCAGAGCTGGCTCTTCCCTCTGCAACGGAATTAAGAAAATGACATTAACTGTGATTCCTACCTCACTGAGCAATGCCCTGATTGCATTCCAAAATGCCTGTGCTCACTCATCTCCACACACACACACACACACACACACACACACACACACACAGACACACACACACCTCAATCCATCTCAATCCATCTCTTACACATACAGCAGACTGAGTACATTAGACAGTTACATCTACTTTAGCTGCAACAAGCAGTTCTGCCCAGATCCACAAAATTAATCAGGCTTCTAAACTGATCCTTTTAGATCTGGGCCTTCTGAACAGTTTATAATAATTTTGAAGATGAAGGACATGGGCAAAAATAATGTGATAAAACTGATCTCAAAACCAGTTATAAGTTTCAGCTTTAAGCTTAATCTCATATTAGGTTTTAATTAAATCTTGTGCTGGTCAGGCTGAGCAGGAAAGGTGATGCAAGAAGAAGCAAGAAAATAAAAAGAGAGAGGAAATTATCTTCCTCTATGCTTAAGGAGACAACTCGTCTTCATTACACATTCTCATGAAATACTGCTGTGGGAAAAGTTTTAGGACTAGGAGACAAAGCTATTCTGTGTGGCCTGCAGTCTGATCATAGAATTGGGTGAGGCCCTCACCCATGTTTCTGAAAAAATCGAATTAGATATGAAGGAGCTCTTTGGGCCAGCTTCATTGTGCTCCACAGGTTCCCCTCTGGAGGCAGAGAAAAGCAGCAGAAAGCAGAGTGATTTAGAGACTGCGGCAGGACACAAAGAAATATGTGTCTATAGAGAGATATCTCCTTGTGATGTTAAAATCTTCAGCAATTTCCTCACAGCCAAAACTGTGATGTTGCCATTGATAGATCCCTGGTGTACTGTCCCTAGGTTGAAAATGGATGAGCATGTATCAGCAGCTGCTGATGCTCAAAAGCAGCATTAAATATTCGGTAGTTTTCAAAATCAGGCATGATTTCATAGAGGCAGAACAGGCTCCTCTATTCTTTCTGGCTTGGTACTTGTCATACACAAGTGTGACAAGGCAAAAGAGGGAGCACAGCACATGGTCTGCAAACATTTTTTCAAGTCAAGTTTTCTACCTCCTAGCCTGCAACTGTGCCCTATTAGCTTTAGCTTTGAGGTCACTAGTAGAGAAGCTTTACAACAAAGAGAAGAGAGTGTTTGGGAAATCCAGGAAAAAGAAATTGGAAGAAAACACAGGAAAAGATGAGCTAAAGTTAATAACCAAACTGACACAGGAAAGCTGGAAACCCACCACTACATTTTGGAAAGCCTGAGCCATTCGACGCTGGAAGTTGGCTCGCTTTAGCTGCAGCATGATGAGAAAGGCGAGGAGAATTGTTACACAGGTCATCCCTGCAGATCCAAGGATAGCAATAAGCAGCATTTTGCCTCCTTTTGATTCATATGGAGCTGTTGAGGAAGGACAAAAAATTCATCATCATTTTCAGCTTATTCTGGATTTAGCAATACATTAGCCATGTGTAATTGAATACTCCTCTCTTGTAAACTGTTTAAAAAGCTAAGGATACATCATGTTGTTTTCCAAAAATGTCAGAAACATTGAATGCTCTGAATTTCAGGTGTACGAGCAGCTAAATATTCTATTTCATTCAGTCAAAGCAGAGATGAGGCCACATTCAGTGATCTAATGATCTTGCTGTATGCAGCTCTTCATTTTTTTAGTCACTGGGCTCTTTTTAGTGCATATAGAGAAATGGTGCATGTTGTCACTTCATCAATACCATGCAGTGAAATAAGAATTAAATTTTGGTGGTTGTGTGTTGTGTGTCAGAATTAATAGCAAAAGAAAACTCAGATTAAAACATTAGTATTATGATAATGTCTTAGCTAACTAGTTTATACAACCAGTCCTGGCTTGTGCAAATCCAGTGTGGTGGATTAACTAACCTTTTGTTTCTGGAAGAGTCCTCAGTTCAAATGATGTGTTCGGGTTGCTCAAGCCAATGTTGTTCTGAGCATTAATCTGAACCTGGTACACAGTGTCTGGCTCGAGGCCCTTGAGCTGATATTGAGTAATGCTGGTGTTCTTTATGATAATATCAACGTGGTTGTACTCAGCCTTGCCATAAATTTTGTAGCTGATGATGATGGAGGAGATGGAATGACCCTCAGCAGCTGTCCAAGAGATGACTGAGGACGTGTCTGTGGTGTTAGAAAACCTGATGTTGTTCGGTGCAGGAGGTATTCCTGAGAACAAACAAAACACATAAGGCATTGGCGTGTACATCCACCTCATTCTCCTTTCCACAGAGAACAAAACATTTTCCTCGGTGCTTTTGCTGTTCAAAGCACAATTTGTTGATTAGCTATGGTAACTGAATGCAATAATTTTATGATCTTGATGTGCTGTCATCCTTGTAGCAGTATTTCATACTTCCAGCAGAGGTTGGAGCGGCATTCAACATACTCTCTTGGATGAAGATACACATCCTCTGAGCTGTATGCAAGCACACCATATTTCCTTTCAGATTAATGCAAGAAGGATTAATATCCTTCTATACTGTATCATCATTCCCTTGTAATTCCCATGTCCTGTACTTTCTCTGCTTCAGAGAGCAATTACCTGTCAGGCTGTTAGAAAGAAAGGAAATTGATACCAACACTTCCAAAAATCTAATCAGAAAACTACCAGCAGGGGTGAGTGCTACACTTGCAGATGCAACCATGAATATTAAGCTAAGTACCTTCGCCTGGAAAACAGTACCCTTATGTGGTTCTTAGTGCAGTTTGGTGTCAGAGCTCAGGGAAATGGAGAGTCCCATGACAGCCATTTATACTTCCACTAACACATGTAGGATTTCAGTGAGGGCCTCCTTACATGACCTTTAAGGAGGAAGAAGCCCACCTTTCCAGTGTGTGGTAAGGGCAGTGTCACCTCTCAGCCATTCAGATGGACAGCTGTTCAGATGGTACTTCATTCAGATAGGGCGTTTGTTGTGGTGTTGTGAAAGCACAGCGCTCACACTCAGGGAGTTCAAGGGCGGTCTTCAGTGTAGCACACTTAACTACTCTTTGCTCACAGGGGTTTTACCTTGCATTGTATCTTCTCTTCTTTAAGTGCTGACTATTTCTGTATGGTCATGGCCGAATTGAGTAACAAAAGAGCTTGGAGTAGTGAACTCTGATGGCTCATCATTCTGAGGAGGAAAAAATGCTACTTGTGTCAGAAGCATTAGTCGCACTGAAATGAAGATGTGGATTCTCAAGCTTGTTTTTCTCCATTTAAAAGAAACCCACATTAGTAGTTCCTGACAATTTCCAGCAGAAGAATTCTTTTGGATGCTGAGCTTTCCAAATTATAGCAATAACAACTGTAAGTGATCATGAGGAACTAAGAGTTACCAAAATAAAGGATTACATTTAATGTAGTCATCAAGTGACAATTAGTCTGATCACTGGGGGTAACATGAAGAATTAAACAGAAGGATGTGAATCAGCACTTACTGTCACTGAAAGTCCATGCATACAGATAGTTGCTCCATTCTCCTTGGGACCTGGTGTTCACCCGTACCCTGCACATGTATTGCTGTCTAGGCTCAAGATCTTTAATGATCAAGGTGGACATATTTCCTGGCACTTGAGTAATAACACTGCTCTCGTCACCGTTGTCATTCACGCTCTTCCTTTCCACTTCAACACGAATATCATCCTCTGTCCTCAGTGTTAAGGGATGCCATGATAAATTCAGTGATGTCATACTTTTTGGAAAGAGAGTGATACCTTCTGGTGGAGGAAGACCTTGGAAAAGCCACAGTGAAACAGGGAACAACATTTCATGTCTGGTATCTAAGCTAAAGTAGGGGTACAGTTATTCCCAGCCCCTTGCCCCAGTTTGGGGTGACATAGGGTAATTCTCTCAGCCATCCCACATAATTTGGCTGAAGTTACGTCTAAGAGGTGTTGATAGTCCCACAGTATCTTAGCAACAGATGATGTGCCAATAAAATGGCATCTTCAATGAGCTGGTGTTGCAGATGCACTTTTTAGATGTGAGAAGCCAACAGTTGTTGTCTTGCTAGGTAAGTCCTGGTGCAATCCTCATTTATTCTGTATGTCTGTATTCAGTTTGTTTAGTTTGGGATCTGTCCTAAATTAACTAAAAACTGTCCAGCTTGTTAAACATCTTCAGTTTTAAAGTAAATTGATCTAACACTAGGAGGAAGGACTGCAAAAAAGTGATTCGTATATCCAACTCTGTTGCGTAGCCAGCCAAAATATATAATTTTTCCTTTCCTAGATGCCTCATCTCTAAATCAGGGAAAATAATAGCTCTGCTTTTTTCTAGTTTTCTTCACCTCTGTTTTTTGATTTGTTTTTTTCTTTTCCTTCCTTTTTTTTTTTTTTAATAATGTCCCTTTGCCTGAGATTCTTTTGAAAGAGTCTACAAGTTTTCAAGTGCAACTTTCTTTACTCAAGTGAAAGTGTTATGACAGAGATCAGGGAACAGACAGCAGAGAAAAAGAGCTGAAATACCCCATTTGTGAGAAACCACAGTGATCCCTTACCAAGTGCAGCTGTTGTGAAGCTGGCCTGCGGTCCAGGATGGCCTTCTCCACCTTCCCCTTGCCGACTTAGCTGAACACAGAACTGATACTCTGTTTTGGGTTCCAAATTGTCCAGTCTTTTAGTTGTGCCTTTTACTGACAATAAAAGTTAAAAGTAAGTAAAGCCATGGCCCGTGTTGAAATATGTTATGGAAGAAAATGTTTGGAAAATACAAGATAAGATACACAGACTCCTTTTTTTGTTGTTGTTCTTGATTCAGTAAGATAAACTAATTAGAAGTATAATGTAACTATTTTTAATTTGAGCTCTAACCCCATCCAAAGGTTGCTTCACCTGCCATTCTTTCAGGACAAAACAATACTGATTGCTTAGTCAATGTCCTTTCTGTACACAGATTTTGGGTTATACTGATGTAGTGACAACTGTTCTTAAAGGTCCTGGAATGTTTCCTGTAGTATTTTAGGCTGTGCATAAAATTTGAAAGCATAGCTGGAGGAGGTCATCCAACTCATAAGCAGGTTTCATTTTGCCTATACCATTATTTTTGGTAAGTTATTAGTCTCTCTAGGGATACAATGAACACAATGCAAGATGGTAGATGCCCCAGCATGTCTCCATACTGCCCACTGCCTTTGAAAATCTTCCATTTACATGGACATTTAAAACAGCTGGGCCCAATACTGAGTGCACTTAATCCTAAGGAAGGAGTGGAAAACCTTTTGTTCCTGAAATGAATATATGCTTTCAACAACCATTGCTGTAACACATCCACATGAACATTATGTGTAGTAATAAACAGTCACACATCCAGTCACAAAATTTCTATGCATTGTAGAGTCTTTTGAGGCTAATCAAGAACAGAAACACATGAAGTTTCAGTTGGTAGGTGGAGTTTGTCTTTAAGGGAATTAAAGAATATCCTCTTACCTTCCACAGACATCCAGGACTGATAACGTTTTGCTGGCTTGTACAGAAGTTTTGTTGACACAACAGGTCCATCTCCATTGTGTAACTCAGCATTGATATCAATAATGAGAAAATTATGTCCTCTGTCTGTCAGCCTCGGAGCATACTGTGGCACAGGAGGAACTGAACAAGAATGCATGTATTAAACTAACCTTTTAGTTCCCTATATCAGTAAGACTCTCGTTATTCCTAGATCTGTAGGAAAATGAAAGATGCTCTTCAAAACTCGCATAAAATAGATGGGGCTTTATGCACTAAAGCTGATAGTTAAGATTTAAAAAAACCTTGGGTGTTCTTCTAAATCTTGTCATCACACTTATTCTTTCAATATACATAATTAGTATGTTACTTATAATGGATTTCTGTTCATATTCTAACTGTAAATATTTATTCAGGCATTTTCCAGCAGTGCAGAGAAAGCTCAGACATGCTAAAGTATAAAGCTGTGCTTAAAATTAGAGAGACAAGGACACTTGAAGAAAGCTTTTACCTTTGACTGTAACTTGAAATGGTTTCTCTGCCATTCCTGCTACTGTCTGCACACTGCAAACCCAAGTTCCTGTATCACCTGGCAGGACTCGGTTAATTCTAAACATGGCTTCAGAATGATTACTGGTGGAAATTTCATCAGGCTGAAATGACAAAAAGATGTACAGGACCTGAAAAATTTGGGCATTTTGGAGTGTTCCAATGATGCTTTGAGTTTAGTGATATCTATAAAAAGCATCTAAAATGGTCAACTTCATATTTTCATATGTGCCGAGAAGTTCATGGGGTACTCCAGAATACCAAAATTTCATATTATGCTTGAAAACCATAGTATGCATTAACTACAGAGAAAGTCAATATAAACATTAGAAATAGCAGGAAGCAATTGATCAGGAGCCTACCCTCAGAACAGTTCCATCTTGCTTCAAGAGTTTGAATTCTTCAGATTTTGGAAGTGGCATCCCTGTTGCTATACAAAACGGTTTGAACTCGACGCCAGAATTGAGTTCCACAGGATCTAGTAAGTTCACTATCTGAGGCGAAAGATCTGCTGAACCTACACAAGATATAATGTCACCCTTCTAACAGACATTTTAAAAGACAGGTTTAGGTGTGCAGGCAGTGTAGGTGTCTGGTTCTGCCTTCCCTCATGTGGGCATATGCAAGAATCACGATTCTCAAAGACAACATTTTTACATCGTTTTATATATAACGTGAGAAGGAACAAACCCTGTGTTCACTCGTCTTTATTTTTCTGATCCCTCTCCTCCTCTTTGTTGTTCACATTTTAAGCACAAACAGTCTAGCCATGGCAAAATCAAGCACATATTTTGTTCTGAATATACAGTACCTCCTTGCTCTCTATTTTGACTGCTTGTAAGACGAGACAGATTGTAACAGTATAATTTGGCTGGTTGGATCAGAGCCTTATTTCTCTGTTTGGTTTTGTTCTTGAAAAGTTTCACAAATCAGCAGTGAATTTGTCACTTTATTTATCTAGCTAAAATAATAAATGCTGAGTGCATCTTATAGAATACCTTGTCTGAATCCAATGAGACAAGGTGTGTTCAGCTTTGTAAATTCAACTTTCTCCCAGAGAGACAGAGAAGTTTTAAACTTTGGTGTTGTCTTAGTGTCTCAGTCACCACTTTCAGATCATGAAGCTCATGGTATAGGCATGTATGCAGCCAACCAAGAGGTAGGTTATGATAAATTACCATGAGTTTATACAAAAAGCTGGATGTGCAGGTTCTGTCAAGGATTAATGTTAAGATCAATCAAGTCCTATGGAGTAAAGCTTGAAAATCTAATGATGTCATCCTGATAAATGCAACATATAGGTCAGAGGCTTAAAAATACTGTATTACAATGAGGCTGGGCAGAAGTGTCTGTGCTCCTGGAAAGTAGTAGGTGGAGCAAGAATACCAGCCTGGAATGGTAATGCTGTACCAGCATTAAGATCTGTTTTAGTTACACTGGGAACAACCATTTAATACCTTACTTTACCTTTTTTTTCACATTGTGGACCATGCCATCCGAAGGAGCAGATGCAGCCCTTAAATCTGTCGCATGTTCCTCGATTGTGGCAATTACATTTGAGTTTGCAATCTGACCCATAAAACCCAGGTTTGCATTCTGCAAATACATATGTTGCAGTTAGTGCAAAAGTGCTAGAAAATGGAAAATGTCTTCCAGTATTTTTCAGTCTCATTACAGAAAAAAACTCTTAACATGACTGTAAAATATATCATCTATTACTCTTCTCTGTTGGTTCCCTTCTGTATTTCCTGTGTGCAGAACATTAAGGATCCTCCCATTCTTTTTTTTTTTCACTATACCTTTATCACATTCCAGTCCCATCCATCCTGTGGCACAAGAACAACCATATGGATCTGGTAGACAGAACATAAAGTTTCTGCAGCCATAATTTTCTTTACAGGTCTCTTCACATGTTTTGCCAAAAGTGTTGGCTCCACAAGCTGTTGAAGGGAGAGAAGGAAATAATAACCCAATGGCATTGTCCATGAAAGAGCTAGTGCTTCTTATGATACTGCACTAGACAAGAGAAAACATGAATTCAAATTAAAAATAGCACTTTGACCATTCAAATATATTAACAATCACAGCAACTTAAGCAACAGCTGTTCTAATAGTCGAGTACAGGCAGCAGAAACAATTTTCTCACTGTGAGGATCTGTCAGCCAAGTACCCTTGTTTTAGATCTATGGGGACACAGATTCAGCAATAAAGTGTGTTTATGAGTCTCTCTAATGTAAAATGGACAAGCAGTGCCATGAAACACAAATCTTCTTAGTGGTGAATGCACACAAAACTGCTGATGTCAAGGTTTTGCTTCAAGGATAAGAGCAGCTCTATGCTGGAGTGCTTTAGTGCCAACTATTCCAACAGCTTAGCTCTAGTATTTTCCGCACTGCAATTCAGTCAAATAAAAGCATACATATTTAGCAATGAACCCAAATGATGCTTGGAGAAGTCAAAACACTGTGATGCCCACTCTAACTTTTCCAGAATCCAAACTACTTGCCACACACACAGATTTGCACAAAAATATATACACTGTTAATGTCCCTACAGAGACAAAGCACCCTGTGAGCACATTAGCAGCTTCTTCAGAAGCAGCCAAGGAATCTCTAGCACATTTCCTAGTGCCCATGTATCCTTAAGGTGTCCTCTACCAATATGCATTTAAGTTAGTCAGCATCACTGAGCACATGCATTTCAAGGGAGTCATAGCACAGCCCAGATTGGAAGTGACCTCCAAAGATCATCTGGTCCAGCCTTTTGTGAGAAAAGGAGCCTAGGAGATATTAGGTAGCATACTGTCCAAGTGCATATTGATCAAGAAGTGTTGGAAACATTCATCATCCCTAGCAAAATAGTCTCTACTAGGTGAAGAGAGAAAGAGAGAAATTAAATCACAGCTGCAAGAACAACCAGAACAGAATTCAGGATTCATCTCACCCAATACTGTCCTATCTCTAGCACCAGCTGTAAATGCTGCAGCTTTCAAGAATAAAACCAGGTACTCTGTATGATGCTTCCCTCAATAATATGCCAGTTTCTTTTACTGAGATCAAATTAATAAGCAATCCCTGAAAATATTATCAACTTACCTTTCTCACATGTTTTTCCCATAAAACCTGGAGGACAGATGCATTCCCCAGTATCTTCATGACAAATGCCATTGTTTGTGCAGGAAGGGCAGTGGAAGCTACAGGAAGGGCCCCATTTCTCAGCTTCACATCCTTTTATGGAAAAATATAATGACATATTCGTTGTCTTGTTATTCAGTAACCCTTCAAATTGTAATATTCTTTTCAGAGCAAACAGTAAAATACATAAAAGTACAAGCTATATGGAACCCTACATGCCAGCCAACTGGACCATTGTTGTTAGTAAGGTAGCAGTAGCTTCAAAATCCAAATTTGGGGCATTATATTTATTTATTCACAACTCCTGGAACTATTGTGTGGATATTCATGAATAAATGTGTATTACCATCACAAATATTTTCTATACACTGTAAGATATTTGAACAGCTATCTTTTTTTCACATCAAATTTATATTTATGTCCAAGTTAACAGAATATAATTTTCTTTATATCTGATGGACACAGCTGCTGAGTAGCAAAGTATGTAAAATGTTTGTTGGAAAATATCCCAACTCATTCTTTCATCCAGTAGGAAGTGAACCTTAAGAGCTAATTAAAACTAAGGTAGTTTGTTAAGTTATAATAATGTATACTAAAGATGATGAACCCTAGGATAAGTGAGTTATGGATATAACCCACCATGGAGAACATAGAGACTCAGTGAAGAATTACCTCTTTTATTAATTTGTGGTGTTTGCAAAGCTGAGATGCTGAAAAAAGAGCTAGCTGTCCTGGCAGTAGCTAAGATGAGCTCAACTTAAATCTGATGGGGTGTGTGTTTGTTCTCTCAGCTGTTGGCATCAATATCAGCTTATACCAAAGGCCCTTGGTACGAAACTTTATTCTGACATAATCTGATAGCAGCAAATGTCAAGAAATATTTTGGTCCTTATTTGGGCAATATGAATGAAACAAAGTGAAACAATATGTTGCATTTCAGATTAATTTTGGCTATTAATCATCACCACATATTAATAGAACTTACGTCTTACAATAAGCCTCGTGTAAGCAGAAGTAAAAAGGTTTCCTCCTATATATCTGGCAGAGTAAACCCCCGCATCCTGTGGTTGAACTTGAGGATAGGAGACTTCCAGCTCTCCCGGCACTTCATGCCTGGGCACAGAGTGGATGAAGGAGCCTGAGGAAGGAGCGCACAGATACCACAGACAGATGTCATTCACCCTCTAAATAAATACATAAGCTTACACTGGTAACCAAGGGACAGTTGGGGGAAGCAGCAGAATCTTTTTTAAAATTCATTATGAATTTTCTGACAACTCTAGCTACACTGGTTTTCCTAATTGGACAAGTGCAAGTAAAAAGGAAGAGACATCTTGACAGGATTTAGTAGATAAACAGGACAAACAACTTCACACTCAGCTTTGAGCTAGTGGTTAAGAGTGTTCGTTTTGTTTCTTGGTCTTTTCTGAAATAAAGGATAACAATCCACACGGATTCTAGGGTGGCTGGAATTGAAAAGCAAATGCCAACCAGGTGTAATTCAGTCTGACTAGCACAAAGATTTACTTGGGAGACAAAAGCAGGAAGAACTCAGCATGTTTTTATATTTTCCTCCCAGATTTAACACATTTCTGTTTCTTCCAGGTTTTTTCACCAAAGACCATTTTTATTTTATTCTAAGACTGCTGTGCTTGGTCATACATGTTTGTTAAATAAGGCAATAGTATTTGGTCTTCTTCCATCGCTCTTGGTCAACAAGTAACAACATTTGAGCTCTGGTTGCTGTCAAAGAGAAGCTGCATCCATTGAACTTCAGGACCCCCAGGAGTCTTTCCACTCCAGTCTGTGAGAGCAAGGCTGCTGCAGTAGTTTGATGCCAGGTCCAGCTAGATCTCATTAAAATATTTGTGCACATGCTAATCCACACTGTGCAAGCAAAGTCATCCACCAATATACCCACACAGCACAACTGTGATTTTATGACTACTGCATGTCCATATGACACTCACAAAAATAGCTTAGGTTGGAAGAAACCTGAAAGATCATCCAGTTTTGAACCCCCTGCCATGGGCAGGGACATCTTGCACTAGCTCAGGTTGCTCAGGGCCCCATCCAATCTGGCCTTGAACACTTCCAGTGGATGGAGAAAACTAACACTTCTGTGGACACCCTGTTCCAGCAATTTACTATGCTCACATACAAAAATTTTTTTCTTGTACCTGATCAAAACACACCCTTTATTTAGATTAAAGCCATTCCCCATTGTCATTGTCAAAAGTCCCTCTCTAGGTTTCCTTCAGCTCCCGTTAGCACTGAAAGGCTGCTGTAGAGGTCTCCCTCTGGACTTCTCCTGGCTGCAAATCCCAGCTTGCTCACATTAACAACCCAGTCTGATCTTAACAACCCAGACAGTCTGATCCTGTTCAGATTCACAAGCTCAAATGGCTGAATGACCATTACCAATGGTGCTCTCATGAATCAAATTGTCCTCATCTTCTACATTCCCTTACAGTCACACTGAAAATGCAACTTTTTTCTCTTTTTTCCCTTTTTTCACTTTTCTTAAATTATTTAGAAGGTAAACAGCATCAGGCAGGACCTCTGCTGTCTGTGACTATACATACTGTCAATTTGACTGTTGTCAAATTTCAGGCAGCCTAGAAACATAAAACTTTGCTGAGGATCATAACCAAAGCAGCCGAAAGACTGTAGGTCACTTTAGTCCATGACAGTCCATTCTCCATGAAAACAGAGCTAAATCAAAAGAACAAATAATTAAAGGAATTTGTTTTGAAACTGTGGGGCATTTTCTAGTGTCTTTTGAGTTAAAAGCCGCATAACAAACTTGACAACAAAGCATTAAGAAAGGCTTATGCTTACAGTCTGCTAAGCAAGGCTCGATTCTTATGACTTGTTTTCCAAGGTGTTATGCCAATGTCTTAAAGCAACCCTGTTTAGCAGAACCATTTCTTTGTCTAGACAGCCATTGTGAGATTCTATAAGGGGGGTGAAATACTTGAAACAACTGAAGTGAAAGACTACAACAGCTAAATATAGTAGAAGCCTTTTCTCTTCTTTTCCAGCTTCTGTATCAGGACTTCTCAGAAATGCTGTTTCAACATCAACCTCAGCTGAAAAACTTGACCTACTGTCTGGAGGCATTCTGAGATTTTCTGCTGAATTTCCAGATGGAATCGCAGCTAAGTGAGTACCATGATGTTAGCAGTCCTGCTCCAATATCTCATCTGGTTCTTTTCTGAGAAACTGGTGACAGGAGATCACAAAATTTTCCTAGGGACCCTGTAATGACCAGTGATGGCAAACTTGTCTGCTGTGCTCTGACACAGTTGAGTCTCTGAAGTCCAAAGAAACAGGTATTTGTGAAAGTCTACTTTACCTATTGCCTCTTTAAAAGACACCTTTTGTCTATTTAACTCTTCCAGCCTGTTGAAATGTTCCAGGTAATCAGTAACTGGGCTTGAGGCTGACTCACTACATGAGTCAGTGTGTTGTCCCGTCCTTACCTCATTCCGCTCTGTTTACTCCCTGTTTCCTCAAGGCTCACTGTAAGCCAGACTGTCAAAGATGGAGCAGAGCATTACATGTGCTCTCCACAATAATAATTTGTTGTGGTTTAACAATTTGATTATGAAGGCACTATGAGTTATAGTGACCTCTATTTTTGTATTTTTCTACAGAAGGTAGAGCACAACCTGCAGAAATTTCTGAGCATCACGCAGGAGCAACATACAGCTGAACAGAGATTACCTGTGGTTTAGGTGCCATGCTAGATAGAAGAGTTGGTGTTACAAAATTACAAAATTTACAACCAGACTAACCCTTGTAGTTAAATGAAACAAGGACTAGATTTTGTTTACAATTTTTTCTTTCTAATAGCAGAGTACTGGTGATTAATTTCTTAGCTTGAAGGGCATCGTAGAAGGTAAATGGCCTCAAAAAACCTTCTGAAGAACGCAAAGTATCACTTGAAGAACTGTAGAAATGCAACGAAAGATTCTGTAACTGGGCTTTCACAGTGGCCCAGAAAGAAAAACAAACAACCAAAAAACAACTAGGCAAATATATGAAGGGATGTAGAAGGAAATCAAAAATTAAAACAAAAACCAAAGCAGAGATATAAAGAGAGGATCGGGCATTTTGGTGGAAGAGAAAAAGACAAAACATATTGGATTAGATCAACATATTGGATATGGAAATTCACCCCTTTAGGAGACATTAAATGTATGAGGAATGATGCCTGCTGCATCTGCACAGCATGGGAATCAGCAGCCATAACTTTCAAAGGCTTACTTGGCCCTCAACTAAAACAATTATAGCAGAAAGAGAAAAGACGAGATTCCATACCATTCTTGTAGATCACTGCATCTTCCTCTTTTGATGCCATTCTGATGAAGGAGATGTTCACATGCTCTCCCTTATTTGCTGTAACAGTTAATGCCACTGGGTGGAATGAAGCTGAAAAGAGAAGTATGTGATGAATAGCAGTTATTCTCTCTCTCTGGTCTCTAGCCTGATAGCTGAGAATGGTTTGCAGCATGAGCCTCACTCAGATTTTGACACCTCAATTTCTCTAGAGCATAAAGTGATTCTTTACCATCAGCAGCCTCAACCTATGCTTTGGCAAAGACAGAGGACTTGCCTGTACCCCGAAAAAGCAGACTGCCCCTAGAACCTGAGGCATGAAAAAATGGCTTCTGGCGAACTGGAAACAGTTTCTAACTAGGAGCTCCAACTGGCTGTAAAACACTTTCCAAAGTTTCTTCATCTCTTAAGACATTTTTTAAGCAGACTGGGAAAAGTACTGGAAATTGTATTGTAGGGAACAAGCTGTCACTGGCAAATAAATACCTAAGGTGATTTAAGTTCTCTTCTACTTAAGCTTTATAATGCAGAACTGTGAGATAGTTCAGGAGACCACAGTCATGCAGGACTGGGAGAAGGTGAGGTAGATGTAGTAGGTCTGTGTTTGTGTTAGTTCACCAAATTCTGGAAATACAGAGCATGTTGGATTGCACTAAGAAACAAAGGAAAAAAATCATATTCACAGGCTGCTTGACTTTTACCAAAATACCAAAATTACGCCTTAATGAAAATAAAAATTCCATGCGAGAGACTGGTGTAGTTTAGCCAGTTTTCCAGCAGGGAAATTGAAATTCATTTTCCTGCTTAAACAGAAAGGAACTTTTCTACATTTTTTTGTAGATCTTGATTTAAATGAAAAGAAAGCAGTAGATAAAAGGATTTTCCCAACATTTCTGTCTGTTTCTTATCAGTACATCAGAAGATAACTGGAGAAGGAACAGAAAAGACTCAAGAAATAATAGCTCTTTCTTGAAATGGCAGTTTTAATGAAACTAGTGAACTGATAATTTTAATTACCACATTACATTGAAACAAGTTAGAAGTTAAGGATGCTTCCTTTCATTTACTTGGAAAATCCAAAGGAAAAGTTATGAAGTGTTTTGAGGACAAATTCAGGTTTCAGGCCATTTTTAGCTCTGATGCTTTATGCCATATTGTCATTTATATCCTCTTCTAGAATTAGCCAAATTGACTTCTTAACTATCAAGCTCCTTACCTGACAGAGAATTTGATACCTCTGTACTCTCCCTTTTAGAGCATTCAGGGGAATGATGTATTGATTTAAACCAATCCCTTTGCTCTTTCTAAACTTGGAATTTTTTAGCCTTATGGGTTCCTGCTATGCAAGTTCCTCCATGTAACTCCATCTATCTTTGTTTATCCTTCTGCTGCCACCTGCCTCCCCAGCCAGGTGAGTGGGACTATTCTGACAAAAGTCAAAAACCTGAGTTTCAGCTGAAGGGAATCCTTGAATACCCATTCATGCTCCTAGACAGCTCAGAGGTTCCATTTCACAGCAAATATTTTCACAGCAAATATTTATTTCTCAGCAAATATTTTTTAAGGAGCATATAAGGAACAGTTAATATAAACTGTTAGACAACTTATTAATAAAAAATTTGTCCTTTATAGAGAATCATGCCTCCTTTCTTGGTTTGTTTTTACAAAACTGTCAATAAAATATCCTTTGGTTCATATCAACAGTTGGAGAAAAAGAATTTGGAGCTTATAGCTGGCTAAAATTTGGTGGGAAAGAAATACAGAGAGATAGGATCAGAAAGCAGAGAAAAAATTATAAAGTAACTTTCTGTCATATTTTATATGTAACAGAGCTGTAAAAAATGATCAGAGAGATCCTATATCAAAGTTTGTATGAGGCAGATATTGACAGTACCTCCACAACATTATTTTTCAAAATCTGAGAGGGTAAAAAGGATGATATTCTTGCAATAAAAGAAAGAACACTTTGATATTTACATTACAAAATAGAATTTTAAGTTAAAATAAAAATGCTTGTATCACATGATGTAAAATTAAAGAAAGAAAATCTGAGCATGAATGAAGAATTTTTTATCGATCCAAGTTAACGTCTCTCCTAGGACATTAATTCCTTGACAATTTTGACATTTTAATGTTTTATTTATCATTGGAAACAAGACAACTATTGAAAATACACAATTCTTTGCAGAATGGAGTTTGTATCCCCTGCACAGTTCTAGTGGTTTTGCTCTGAGACTCTGCCACACATTTCCATTCCTTTGTAAGCTACATACAATTGATTTCAGCAGGAGTCTTCCTGCTTCACATTAAGTATATGCTTTTGTTATTTTACCTAAATATTGGTATCTACATTTACATCTTAGAGAAACAGAAAATTCTAATATAGAATAATGAACTAAGTTTTCATTAGAAACAGGCAACAAAAACTTAAAGCAATTCCAGCTTACTGTCAGCTCCCCAGTTAGAAGTTATTTATTAGTAACAAATGCATAGTGAAAAATTATTATCTATTTAAGAAAATAATAATTCTACAGCTTTTGCAAAAATTAAATTGTTAACTACAAATGATCCTAAGGGGCTTCATTGCAGTCCTTTTTGGACCAAATTTAGTGAGACAATGCTAATTGTCTTAACAAGATATTGAACTTTTTTATTCCATCTACTTTTCTTTGCATGTTAGGCTAAACCACAAGACTTTTCTACAGGGTATTGTTGCAATGGAAAGGAATGCACACTCCCTGTTGGGCTCAGCTCCAGCATATTTTTAGATTGTGACTTGTATTACATAATTTCACATCTCAAGTGTGCCAATTCCTTATAGAGACATAACGAACTGAGCTGCAGGACAAATGCCATAATACTCTACTACTAGCATTTCCATTATTGTCCCTTTGACAGCTCTGTGGTCGAGTTTCTGTGGGGAAAACTCAATCAGATATATTAAAATAAACATTTATTGTGTAGAGAAATTGAATAAATTGTATTTGACTAGAAGGAGAATACTCTGTGCTGTTTTATTCTGGAGATGTGTACTTATACAGAATGAGGACCACTCTCCATAAGAAGATAAAGCATAAAGTGTTCCCTCTCATTGCATGTATAAATATTACATTTGCAACTATAATGTTTCAGTATAAAAAATTCAGGAGAATGGAATTGTTACTCTCAGAATAGCAGATGGTAAAACAAATCAAGAAAATGGACCTGTTTCCATATTACACAGCAAAATTCTTCACTATATGTTCATATTTGATAATAGGTATACAATCAGGGATATGGCAGTTCCCACTGAGTCAGTAGGGCTACCAAGATGATTAATGCTTAGTGAGTGTTTCACCAGCTTCTTGCCAGAAGGATGCAAAACAGTGGCTGGGTTTCCAGAAGCGCTGCTTCTTCCTTTGACTTTGGTGTCTCCAATGGGAAACTGCACATTTTGAACTCAATTTTTGCTGTTGAGAAACATGTTCTGCCTTTAAAAATTATGAAGTTAACAACAGTTAAGTGGAAAAAGGTCTGTTTTCCAGACACATATGTTTTGCCAAACCCCACAATCTTTCCTCAACCTCTTTCTCCACTTTCTGTGCACTTTAATAGCTATGAGAATTTCTGATGTACCTCTCTCTCACCCATCTAATCTGATTAAATTATATACTTTAACTGAAGATTTGCTAGTTTGAAATTTGTCAGCGAAAACTTTTGCAGAGAAAATCTGAGAAAGGTACTCAAACTTAGAAATTAAACCGAGAAACCTACCAGCTACTGGTGTGAATGCTACTTCTGTTTAGAGCAACATCTGTCACAGAAGAAGACTTCATAATTTGATTACTTAAAGTGCTCTGCTCCTACTCCCACAGATGCCGAATAGAAAGAGCTGATGGATTCAGAAGACATTCTTCCTCCCATGCAATTTGCTCTACAACAGCTAGAAATGTGCTCAGCTTGCTGGCAGACTGCCACAGGCAGGGTCACAGTGACATTCCATGGACTGTTATCTTATCTGCTCCTCACTGCACCCTCCTTTGAAACAATGGAGTTGTCAGTCTGCATCTGCAGATCTTTCTTGGTCACCAATCCAGCCCTTCAAAGACCAAGTTTGGTCAGAGAAAACATAAACCAAAGGAAAATGTATATATCCTACTTAGCTTGCTTCCAAGCTACCCGTGTTCAAAAAAATAATAATGGGCACTAGCTTCAGCTCTTACAAATGAAAAAATCTCCTTTTATAAATTTGTTATGTAATTTCAGGAGATACCACAGCAAAAATTGCTCTTACTAAAATCTTATGAATAAAGATCAAAATTGTCAAACAACCTTACAGACCAGTTGCCAAGGCACAAAACATTACAGTACATTAAAATCTATTTTAAATTATCTTAAGTTTTGAAAAAGTGATTTGCTGCAGAAAATTACTCAAAATTTCTTGTGCCTTTCTGTAGTTGATGGTGACCTCTACTTTGGAAATTGTCCCAGAAGTCTAATGATGCCCAGAAACAAGAGAAATTTTGAACGTATGTAAATACAATGTAATGGACCTTAGAAATCTCACCTTCTTGTCCCACCATATCCCTGCACATTTGCTTTTACTATTGTGCATAGCCTAAAACCAAAATCAAATGAACAGTGAAATCTGTACTGGATTTTTGTGAATAACCTTCTCAGACTGTGGAAAACTTCTCTGGGCTTCCTTTCCAGTGCTGAGAGGGGTGCCTCTTCTTTTTTCCCCCCGCATGGACACAGACAATGAAGATCCAGTGTTGCTGATCTGTAGTTTTACTAAACCTTAGGCAAGGCAATTACTTTCTGGGGTCAGGTTGCCCATTTACTTAAAACAGATAGAAAAGTGATGCTTAGCTATCTACATCTCAGACCTGTCAAACTTTAAAAATAGAAGCCTGTTTGAAATCAAGCATCTGGCATGCAAGAAACCCAGTGGAGGAGTTGCCACATGTATTATTCCATGGGGTCAGTGAGGCCACTTTAAGTGCTGACTTCGTGCTCCTGGCAGTAGCCAGATGCAGGCAGAACACTTAGAGATGTCTGACTAACTTCCACAAGGAAATGACTAGCACCTAGTACCAACCAGTTTCTCTGCACTGCAGAAAAAAAAAAAAGGCCCTGAACCAAGTCCATTTTTATTGACTCAGGACTGCCTTGCCTGGTCTGGGACCCTGTTTGTGCCCACTTGTGTCAGCCAGGGGCAGCTGCCAGTCTGCAAGCAGTGCCATGGCAAGTTCAGATCTGACTACTATACTGTACCTCCCAGTGGCATCTTCATGGTGTGTATCCTTGTCACCTCATCCTTGAGTTTCCCTTCACAGTAGTACGCTCCAATAGTTTCACTGGCCTGTTCCCTCTTCCACACCACTGTTTTGGCTGCTGCTCTCTTGGAATCTTCATTAACTTCCAGTGGCTCCCGGTGCTGGTTTGCTACATCCTCCTGGTCCCGGCCTATCGTGATAGACTCACGGGAACGCCATTTGGAAGTGACACATGTAAGTGATGTCTCAGTGTTGCCCACCAGAGGGAAGGAATTGATCAGTATGAGGTCCAGTGCCGCTCCTACTTTACCTAAAAAAAACCAAAACACATCAAATGGAAAAAAATTTTACTGCAGAATTTGATGTGGCCAATCAAATCACCAGGTAAGCTGTGTCACCCAGTGCTCAGGGTTTCTCTGGATGTTGCCGTGCACAACATTCGTGCAAAATTGGATGAACACAGATTAAGTATTCTGTTACAATGACTTGAGGATTAATTTTTTATGACTCAAACAGATGGAATTTGCTCTTCTTAGAAAAGGCAGTGTATCTTGCAAACATGTTGAATTTCTTTCAAGAGGTGTTGTAGAAGCCCAAGGAAAACCATAGATTGCCAAAGCAGATTGATCCGTGTATAGTTAGACATGCACATAAATGCCTCAATTATGCTGCTTTTCTGGCAACAGAATTGGTGGATGATAAGATTGTGAGTTTAGCAGTGTTTCCTCAATCTCCCTTACATGGATTTAGTACACATGAACTGATGTAAAGCAGGTATGACGTCAGTTATAGGAGATGGTAGTACTTTGAACAATTGCGGTTTTTTTTTTCAGCTGTTTTATGAATTTGGACTAATGATTTCACAGTCAATCACATTAAATATTTGAAGCCCTAACAGACACTGACAATGCCCATGGCACAAAGCAACTTATGCAAAAACAAAGAGCAAGTTGGCACAGCTAGTTAAATGAGGTCAGGTTTAAATCACTCAAAATTGCTTCTTTTGATCAATAGGACTGCCAGAAATACACAGAGGTGAAAGTTTCTTTGAAAATGAGAGATGCAAGCCTAATTAAATATCTTCTAGCAGAGTGTCGCAGTTTTAGCTGTTCAAATGTGCATAGCTGGAGGGAAATTCAGCTCTCCTATAATGAACAATTGGCAAATAATAGGCGTTTCCCTTTATTTTTTAAGTTCAGGGTAAGGAGAAGGGAAACACTAACATTTTTTCCAGCTGAAACAGGAAGAATAATTGATTTCTTTTATTCATCACATCTATTTTCCTGATTTTGATACAAGTATATTTTGTATTTACATAGAGAGACCTAATATTTAGTGCCGGTCAGCTTGCAAATGTTCTCTGATGGGAAGGAAGGGGTATAGTCTTAGATAAGGAAGGTCAGAAGGTCGCAGTGCTGACTGCAGTCTTTGCGTGTGTCTGTGCAGTGCTCTGGGCCAAGGGAGGAGGTCCTGCTCTGCTTTCAATGCAAGCAACCACTCTGGGGACTGAAGTATCTTGACAGCCCATTGACACTCACCACACCCAACCAGTCTTCCACAGCCTCCACCCTTTCATGTGCCAGCCCAGATAATTTGCAGTTACATAATGAAGCCTTCTGGAAACGTTGCGAGGAACATTAAAGCAAATATTGCATAAACCTGCAGCTCAGTAAAGTCATCCTGCTGCAGGTTGCCAACGTGAATCCTTTGAACAAAGTTAAATAGGTATGTGATGGAAATGAGGCCAATTCACACATTCATTTTATGGGACATTTGTCTCAAGGCTCTTAGTTTTGTATGAGGAACATTTGTGCTTTTACTGTGGATCTGATGCATCAGCCAAAGGCCAATATAGCTCAACAATCACCAGCACTGAGAGAAGCTTCAGTTTAGATCAAGCAAGGCTCACACGCCAGGTAGAGATATTCTTAAAATCACAAACTGCAAGATCCTGGTTTCTGCAAACATTTGCAAAACTCAGAATCAAATCTGGATTCAAATTCTGTGACTTGACATGACTTTCTGCACTGAGGTCAGGTCCAGTGTTAGAAAGCAGAAGTGAAATATTTTTCTGCCTGGCATCCACAAGGCACAGAGCTACAGCTGCCTTTCCAATACAAATGTGTGAGCCCAAGGGCTGGTGTCCTGCAGAGGACAGCTGGTCATACAGGGCTCCAGTTCCATTTTCCCTAGTATTTCTGCATTCCTCTGACTTCCACCAAAGATTGAAAGGTGAAAATAACACCTCTTTCCTCCCCTGAATCTCAGCCTTTTGATACTCTGAGAAAAAGCAGTACGAGAAGCCTGAATTTTGAGGACCAGCTTTCATGCTGCCTTTGATCCATATGCGAAGCAACATTCTACCAAAACTGGGGTATTTGCTGCATAGTGTTTTCCTTGTAGTAAATTCATGCAACAAAGGTGTAGAACAAGTAGACATATTGTTTTTTAAACTTGAGAATATTCTAGGTGAATCAAAATCTATCCACCGGTGAATGGATAGTGTTCTGATTCACTGTCTAAAGACAGGTGGCTGTTTGCCATATTAAACACTGCAGGGTAGCCCATACACCTCAGTGAGGCAGACGTAACACAGATGGAGTTTCTTCCCAGAGAAACATAAGAATTTTTTGCCTCTAAAAGGATTTTATATCTATGTGTAAGTATAGAATTATATGTCAAACATGACTTTGAAGCTAAGGTTTCATAGCTGGAATATATTGCAAGCAGAAATATAAATAATGAAAGTTTTGCACTAAGAAAAACTATGATTGAGATATAATTTGAAAAAGAAAAAAAAAAGGCATTTTAGCAATATAAGGCCTTGGAGGTGATAGCAATGTTTTCTTTGACTCCACTGGGTGAGGATTCATGCAGCATCTCTTTATGATCATGCAATTTCAAATAAAAAAACTGCTCTTGCTAGAAAGGAACTTTTCTAGTCTGGCAAAATTTAGGTCAATCATGTCCTAGATGCTAATAAAGGTTTTGAGTATGTAACAACCAAATAAGGCAACAGAATTTAGCTTTGAGAAAAGCATAAAAAATAGAGAGAGGAAGCAGCCAATCTCAGCAGCAGGGACAATCCTTGTGCTGCCTTGAAAAAGTCCTTTCACTCCTGCCCTGGTTCTTGAAGAGCAGACCTTATCAGGAGGGCAATTTGCTGTGTGTGCAAATGGATTTTGAGAAGAGAAAGAGCTTGCAGAAGGCCAATGCTGTAAATGGGAAACACCATGCAAAGAAGACCCATTGCCAAGTATTTATGACACATCACTCACTGTGCTGCAGTGCTTTGAGTCTTTCCAGCACAGTGCAAATGGCATCCTCTATAGAAGTTTAAATAACAAGCTCACTGACTGTAGCCCAGACAGCAAAATAAACGGAGGGAAACCCTTACAGTTCCTCTTGGCCCACTCCAAATTACAGGATTGTGCTCTCTCTTGCTGGGTGATAGCTGTGTCTTTCACAGCTTTTCTAGTACAGATTTCTGCTGCCCAGAGAGCTAATTGTATCCTGTGCTGCATCCAAAGCAGCGCAGCCAGCAGGGCAAGGGAGGGGATTCTGCCCCTCTGGTCTGGGCAGAGGGGAACTCCATCCAGCTCTGGGGTCCCGACACAGGAAGGACATCGACCTGCAGAAATGGGTCCATGAGAGGCTGCCTGGATGATTGGAGAGATGCTGGAGCACCTCTCCAATGAGGAAAGACTGTGAGAGTTGGGATTGTTCAGCATGGGCAAGAGATGACTCCAGGGAGACCTTACAGCACCTTTCAGTTCCTAAAGGGGCTACAAGAAAGTTGGAGAGGGACTTTTGTCAAGGGCATCTAGTGACAGAATAAAGGATAATGGCTTGAAACAACAGGAGGGTCAATTTAGATTAGATATAAGGAAGGAATTTTTCACAATGAGGGAGGTGAACCTCTAGAACAGGTTACCCAGAGAAGCTGTTGATGCCTCATCCCTGGAAGTGTTCAAAGCCAGGCTGGATGGAGCAGCCTGGTCTAAATGAAGGTGTCTCTGTCCATAGGGGTGAGATTAGATGACCCTAAAAAGGTCCCTTCAGCTCAAATTGGTTTTTGATTCTATGATATTGATCTGGGGAAATTGTGCTAAACAGAGAATAAATTTGTCATGCTGTGTCTGTAGGCCCTGTGTGTTCTTATTCCCTACTAAAATGCCATTCATACAGGCACAGTCATCATATTTTCTGTGCTGCATTGCACCAGCAAAACTCAGCTAGGATCAGCTAAAAAAATTAGTTCTCAGAAATTCCCTAGAACACATCCCAGACATAGTTCTACTCAAAGAGCAAGCAAGTCCCTGATAAAGATTAAAATATCACTGCTCTAGATCATTATTAGTGCTAAATACTAGGGTTCATGTGTAAATGTGGCAATCTTGAGCTGAGATAGTTTGATGCCATAGAGGAGTACATACAGCAACTCTTAGTTCAACAAAGTCAACAAACCAACAAAAGTCTTGATTTGTCCTTTCCTCTGACAGTCCCTGCCCATATACTTCCACTGTTAACTCTTGTCTCGTCTCTAGGAAAACATGGGGAAATTCTAGGCCCCTCCTATCTAGTGTGAGGCCTTTGCAAAGTTGTCTGTTATTTGGAAAAAATGTTCAACACAGTGGCTTATGCTCCTCTTCCACAGCAAGCAGCCAGAGTTGTGAGCTCCGTCACAGGGTAACCACACCTCACTGTCCTTCGAAGTTCATGTAATATGGAAAGAAGTTGTATTTGCAAAGGGTATTGAGAATTCAAAGATCTGAGGAAGGCTTTAGTTTTTAATAATGATTGGTAGCAGAAGCAAAGAAATTGTTTAGACATTACACAGCTAAAGTTATATTTATTTCCTTATATTTGTAGAACTTTATAACTTTATAACTGATTGCTCGAAATTACTATAAGGAGGAAGTCTTCCTCCTGGTATTTGGAGTGTAACAGATTGAGGTGAAGATCTGTTGTAGAGGTAAGCAGAAAGATTAATACTTTTAAAATACTAGTTATTTAAGAGAAGATGAAAGGGCAGCAAATTCCAATTCCAGTAAATTCTACTCCATTTTTCACCAGGTGAAGCAGAGAATAGATGTAATATGGAATGATTATGTAGTTTTTTGTTGGTTTTTTTTCACTGTTATTACTTGGAACACTAATGATTCCTGCTATTAGGCATCTGGGAACAGGAATATAAAACATATAGCTACTATATTGGCAGGGAAAAACTAGAATCTGAGCTTAGTTTTGGTGTTATGCTGAAAGTGAAACAGTCAGTTGCATATGCCACTCACTGCAGGATTTAAAAAT